CTGTCCTCCTACAAGGTCTTTATTTATTGCTACAACTTATATACTACTCCATTTCCAGGGACTCTGAGCAGCTGAAGGCCATGCTTAATATTTCTGAAGGGCCTGGAACTGCATAGGGGAAGGGGCCACTCAGTGCATGTGGAGATGATTCCTTCTAGAGGCAAAGTATAGATCTTTGTTTTTTCACTGGGATATTTAAGGTTTGTTTGTTTATTTGTTTGTTTATTTAGCTGCCCATCTCAGACCAGTAACTTTAGAACTTAAAACTTCTAATTTAAAACGTTATTGTTAGCATTACGTCATGATTTTCATCTCAAGTAGTGGGAAACAACAACTGTTTTTAATCATCTTGATTAGATGGGTGTCCAAGACCTGCAAAAAGTATTGACTATCAGCAGGCTACAGGTTGCCTACACTGGTTTTTGAGTCATGTGGTTCTCTAGCTAGCTTGCTGTTCTCCTAATAACCCAAGAACAAGCCTTGACATATATCTCTAATTTCTTAAGAGGAGAACAAGTGATGATTATGCTGGTTTCTTTAGCCATCTCTTCTGGCAGGAGAAACCAAAATGTTCAGGATTGTTCATCGTTAAGGCAGCATTTTACGTAATGTCCAAACATAGCCATTCATTCTCTATCATAGAGAATTGGAAAAGGCATTGAGTCTAAACTCCTGATCTAACCAGCCACTACCTCAACAGTGAAACCAGTGGAGAGAAGCTAACCACTAAATTAGTTCCATTATCAAACTGTTCCTACTGTTGCAAAGTTTTCCTTAGATATGAATGACTATTTAGAAAAACAAAAAAACAAAACATCAAACATTTACAAGATACTGGTGGCTACAGGAGACTTAACAACCCTATAGGGCTGTCAGCCCCCACATGACTTAAAACAACTCTCTTAGGTGATTTCCTCTGTGAGGTCTAAAAGATGTTTCTGTGTTCCAGCAATGTAGAAATAGTGTCCTTTTTCAACTCTTCTTATAGTGCTTCATTTGTTTGGTCTAACACATACATTCATTAGCATAACTCTACACATTTTTGTGACACTCTGTATCATAATTCTTTTTACTTTTTTCAAGCAGCTTCCATGTCAACTTTTCTTGCATCCATGGAATGTGATATGACAGGACTCCATTTTTGTGTGCCCCCCCAAATTTGTGATCCCCACATTTTTTGTGTACCCCAGGGGGTCACAACCCATAGTTGGACAACCCCTTATATAATAATCTTCCTCCTTTCTTGTCAGATGAAATGTAGCAGCTTCTCCAGTCTTGATACTTTTTCTTCAAGCATATCTACCAGTTTGTACTTGCAGTAAACATATGCTAGTTTGTTTTTAGGCTGGAAGACAAACTTGCCCCAAGAATTGCATGTCACAGCTGCTAGTCCATGTCCAATTATCACTATCAGTCCAGTACCATTATCCACTTGGAGAGAAAACTTGTCAGGGACTCACTATGGGCAATCAGCCACTCTTACAATGAACTTCTTGCAATTAACAGTTATTCAGAGGATGATGTTTTCACCCCACATAGTTGAGCACACTGTTCCTAAGAATATGCAGGTTGTCTAGTCAGTCATCTCTCTTGCCTTTTCCTGTTTGAACTTCTGTTGAGGGCCACCAAACTATTGTTAGCTGTTCATTTGCTTAGAAAGTATTAAATAAAGGGCAATGTAGGACTAATATTTTAAGACCACGGAATTATTTTCAAAGATATGGTTCCTGCCAGAAGATTAGCCATGCTGGACTAATTCAGAGGACTTCTTATCCAACATTTTGTTCCTATGGGGCCCATGGGAACTCAGGCAGGAGATGAGTTCTGTGGCAGTCTTGTGCTCAAGTTCTCTATCACCTGATCTGCAGAAGCTTACGCCTCTGAACCTGAGGGTGATAACTTATGGCTAGTAGCCACTGACTGCCAAATCTTCTATATAGTAAGGGAAAACATTTAAACTGATTGATTAATACGATCATTTACTTTCAACTGTATAGCTTAAAAAATGCATAAATGTTTCTGCGTCTGATAGCGTATTATGTTGCTTTACGTTTAAGAAGGTAGCCTCTCAAGATGACAATATGAATAATCCACTGTGAACACGGTTACATTTTAGTACATGTCCATTACATGGAAAACTCTAGCTTTTGTCAATGTTTTATGTATTTATTTACTTCAGTTTCTGTGCTCTCAATTCCCACGGGCTCTGCTTGAAACTTGGAAATAACTTTTAAGAACATGTTTCTTTTGTATGTGTCAGAGAATAAATTATAGATTTTATCCATAATAGTTAGACAAGTCTCAGTTTAAAATCTTTTCCCATTCACTAATACTCCTTATTAACAGTTGCTTCTGTGAAAACACTGAAGCATTTTTTTTCCTGGTCCTAAAGTAATTATATGAACTGTAATGTTAGCTATCTCCTAAGAGATTGGTAGTTGTTATTTTGAAGCTTATGTCATTGGCATTGAAGGGAACTGCAAAAAAAAAGTCAGGACCTTATGAATTTGACGTTTGCTGAACATGTAGGCAACATGACCTTCAGAGGACATGTTTTCACTGGAAGAAAAGTGGTTCTTAAGTGTGCATATTATTCTCCTTACTAACCAGCCTACATATTTCAGCTACAATTCATAATATGGATCAATGCAGTATTTTCAAGTATGGACATAAAAACAGGTGGCTTCATTTCATGGTATATTCTTGAGTTCACATATAAATATATCTGAATGTGCAATATACAGTATGTGGTAAAAGAAATTATTTTATAGATATCCTTACATAAGGACTCAAGTCCAAAGAAATGATTGTATAGAAAACTGGGAGGGAGGGAGGGAGGGAAGGAAGGAAGGAAGGAAGGAAGGAAGGAAGGAAGGAAGGAAGGAAGGAAGGAAGGAAGGAAGGAAGGAAGGGAGGAAGGGAGGAAGGATTTCTAACGCTCCCTGCCAGCTTCCCACAAGCAAAGTCAATGGAGAAGCCAGCAGCAAGTCGTAAGTTGCTCACACTCCCACTGCTTTTTTGCCCTTGATCATTCTATTTCTCTGTTTAGGTAAGGAAATATCTTTGGAATGATGACTTAATGGGTCACAGGTTGTCTAGTATCCTTTTAAAATATACTGAACTAGCTTTGTTTATATATTAATGGCTGCAAGGATTTTATATGCTTTTACTGAAAAGGATGTTTGGTTCCTTCTTCGAAAAATGGCTAACTAATTTGTGGGAGTACACTTCAATGTCCAGAATAATTTTGTGTTTAAAAAGCAAATCTGATGTAGATATTAACTCTAAGTTGAAACTATTCTTGGACTATAACTTTATACACGTATTTGTACCACATCCACAATTGGTGGGGTGGGGGGTGGGGGGTGGGGGTTACGTATAGAGTCTATATTTTAATTTGATGAATAACTAGACTTTGATTATTGATGTATTGTAGTTTATAGTTTTAATAAGTAAATTATACTGTGTGAATCAACTTGAAAGTTAAATAGGGACTCTCAGGTTTTGTTCAAAAAACAGATATGATATATTTTACAATATTATGTGACTAATGACATATTGGAACATAGTAGTTTTTATGATACTTTAGACTCTTTACCTATCAATCTGTTTTTCACTACCTGTTTTTTGTCTCTTTTCTGTATCCTTTGTACCTTCTTTTGGTTATACTCTATTCTGAAAAAATGTTCAACTTAAAAAGTAACAATTAAGCACAGTGAAAAAAAGCCAGTGAAAATGGCACCAGTTGGCTCATGCAAGTTCTCTGCCATTCCTGGAATAGATCAGCTAGTTCAGGTTTTGTGTTTTGTTTAATTTTAATGAAGTGGTTGAAGGTGAGCTTATGACATGCAGGAAGTTTTAATTTCTTTTTAAAAACAGTTTGCCTGGAGCAGAAAGGTAAGGGGCAAGATCAAAAGAATAGCACACAATGAGCTCAAGCATAGTTGTGCAATTAAATTGCAAAGTCAGACTGAAGTTGACCTTACTCTGTAGGTAGAAATGCTGCCCCTGTCATTGTTGCAAAGTTATATCTCCCTGTGTTCTTTGGAAATAGGAACTTATAGGGGTACGGTGTACATAAGGCAGCCTTAAAATGAAAGGGCATAAAAGCTAAATGAGTTGATATGAAATAGGGGTGTGTAGAAAATGGGAAATAGGTTTTTTCTCAAACACAAAACAAAACATCACATTCCAAAAGTTCTGCCAATACTGAAAATACTGAATTTTCAGTTAGTTAATCCTTTCATGATAATCTCCAGAATTTCTTCTTTGAGTCCATAGGTACATTATAGAGAGAAATGACTCTCGGCCTCAATAGGGCAGGAGAGGAGGGTAGGGATCCTGTAGTAGACAGACAGAACTGGAGCCATTGCTGCCAGCAACAGACCAGTCATGTTAGAGTCAACAAAACTTATCACCACAGAAGCTGAAGAGAAGCAGAAATTGAATCATTGCTACTGGCCGTAAAGCTTATTCCCTAGCTGGCTGGTCTTTTAAGGAGTTTGAGACATTCTAATTGTCTTCTAATGCTAATTAGAGAAACATTCATTCTACACAGTGCATAAGGTTGCAGCTCTGGTTTCCATTTGAATGCACCTATTTCACTAAGTAATATAGATAGGAGTATGTATTCAGCATTTTTGAACCCCTATTTTGATGAATTGCAATTCACAACAGTAAATACTGACATGGAAAAGTAGGTTTGGTTCTCATCTCAACAATTTATTCAAGTACAGTGCTTTCATTTCTCCACAAAACTAAATAACAACTTCTATTTTATTTTACTTAAGATTTTTATCTCATTCTATATTTACCTTCAGGGTTTAATAACAATAATTAACTTACTGAAAATAAATTAAGGAGGGCAAATACTGTAACTGGGGCAATATAAAACCGGATATGATGCACTGATAATGGAACCTATGTTAATTCAGATATCTAAAAGACAATGATGCTGGCTGGGAGACTACTAATACATATGTTCATATTCACCTATGCAGGACTAAATATCTACTCCATCTCCTCAATGAGTACATCTACCACCTCAAACATAGTTTCTCCTGTAAGAGTAAATTTAATTGGTCACAACCTTACATTTGACAGCAGTACAGCAACAGATGCCACAAAAGCAGCTACGAGACCTGATACTCTTTCCCTTACAACCACACTGGGACCTGTTGAAACGAATATGGGCATGTTATCTATGGGTATTGTCCCATCAAATACACCAGATACGGCTGCGTCAACAACTAATTTGTTATCACAACCAAGCACTGGATTACAAAGTACAGAATACATATCAACCTCAGTGATGTCAGTTGATACCTCGGCAACAACTAGTATTTCCCCTGCAGAAACCCTAGCCACTGCCACTTCAAGTATCATGAGTGTTTCATCCACCATCAGCAGCTCATCTGCTCCTGAGGAACACACCAGCGCTGGGGTTACCCATTTATCAAGTATAGAAGTGTCAACAGTGCCTGTGACATCCAAGGAACACCCTACTGAAGGAACCTCCTCTGGAGACACTAGTAATCCACTCACCACATCAAGCCCTGTGGGGCTTACATCTCCACAAGGGACTTTAGCCAGTAAAGCCACTATTGAGACCTCCCCTGTAGGCAGTACCACATTCTCCTCAGGAGTAACCATGCAAGAGGTTCAGCGGGCTTTGAGTTCAGGTGAGCCAATTCAGTTGACTGTTTGCATAACAATGGCTGTCTTGGAATTATTATTTTTTATTTGTTATTTTAGAGTGTAAGATCTCATCACTAACCCCTCTCCTCAAATCAGGCAGTGCAAAAGAGGTAATATGCTACAAAAGATTTGACCAGGCTTTCTTGAAATTCTGGGAGCTGAAGTCTAAAATATTTGAAGGGCATCAAATTGGGAAAGCTGAATAATTGTCCTCCTTGCTCTGCCCATGGCTAGTGGGAAAGTATGCTACAAGCAGTTCCACAGTGACTCTGTATAGCAAGATTATTATATTATGCCTTCTTTTCTTACCAGTACTTGGAAATTATGTGAACCTCTCTTTCTAGTAAAATGTTTTAAAAGAAAGATCTATTTATCATTCACATTTTATTTATTTATAAATTTATATAGCCTCCCATTTTATGCAACATAATCTTGGGCAGCTCACAAACAACAGTTAAAAAAAGCCATAAAGAACAACATAGAAACCACCCAACTCATCAACAACATAACCGATTTGGATACATAATTAATAATTTATTCTTTTGAAAATGGAATGACTTTTTTGTTTGTTTGAATATTTTGCATATAGTAGGAACCCCTTAATCCAAAAATAAAGTCAGTTTGGGTTTTGAAGAAGGAAATCTTTTCTTGTTGTTTAGTATCATCAAAGTTACACATATATATGAAAAGGTGTTTAAAAACATATTCATTCTTAAATTTTGTAATGTCCTAGTTTACTTTATAAAAGAAAGGCATTATAAAAGAAAGACATTGAGCAATAAATGTCAGAGAATTTCAGCCTTCCAGGATGCTCCATTACAGATCTCAAAGTAGTCATCTTGAGAAAAAAACACCTGTGCAATAGATCAAGAGATGGCTGAACTCACATCAAAAGGATGCAAGTGATGCTAGAAGAAGAAATACAATGGGTGTTTAATACATTACAATTGTTAATTCCTAAGGTGCTTATAATTTGTCTCATATGTAACCTTCATCTGCATAACCACCCTTTTTTTGTCTTCTCTTCCTCTTCTCCCTCCTGTACCTCATCCCAATTTAAACCCTACATCAGTCTAGTTACTCCATTGCCTGCATTGAAGACAGCACAAAAGCTTGTACCTTTAATAACATGTGTTGGTTGGAAAAGATGCTACTAAGCTCCTCCTGAATTTTGAGCAACAAATAGTTCAGTAATCAAACTAAATCATAGCTCATACCAGCCATAGCTGGAAACATGATTTAGAAGTGTTCTTCTTGTGCCTTTTGTTTAGCACTCAAAAACCTTGGTTCAGAGTTATTCTTTGATTGATTTGAATGGTTCCAAAGAGAAATGATGAGTCCTTTTTAGTTAGATTGCCTTTCAGTTCTCATAGGTTCACAAGGGTCCACAGAAGTTCTTGGATGCTACGTTTGTCAAAGAACTACTTTTTTTCCCACGTAATTTATATATGTGGGACAACTCAAAGCAGGATAAATAACAAGTACAGCCTTTTAAAAGATACGTGTATGTGTCAAGTATTAATGAAATTGGAAGTACCCCTGCAAGCATGGAAGTTGAGCTAACTGTTTTTCTTCAACCTTGGCAAGTAGGTAAGAAGACAAAGAACTTTTAGGACTCCAGAATGGAAGTCATTCACTACCTGCTGTCTGAAGTCCCTGCTGAGCTAGTATAGAAGCTGGAACAGCATTTAGCAATCAATTAAGAATATGAATTTCAAACTGAAAAGCACGCAGATCATATCTCATAGCTGTGAAGTCATTTAATGGCTTAAGACAAGCAGCTATTCTCTTAGCTTCACCCCTGCCATTGTCAGTATGTAGATAACTGATCTGCGTGAGCAGCTTTTACTGCATTATGTCTGTGCAATTTGTGATGAGTACACTATTTAAGTAATAACTCTCCATCTGGCATTTCTGAAGAATGGTGTGAAAGTAAGAAAGTATGCAAAGAATTTATTTATGCTGATGTAAAGATTTGTAGATTACACAATATAGTATTAGTGCATATTCCAGAACATTCTTGCGAGCCTGTATACCTAGAAACTATTCTTGCATTGTTACATTTCTTACATTAGAACACATAGTGCAAATACGTTGTATTGATATGAATCCAAAATAAAAAATACCTTGAAATTATAACTAAGCATCCAACCAATTTACGCACTATTTTTCCTGTGTAGGAAGCATTGCAGCTATTACTATAACAGTGATTGCAGTGGTTCTGTTGGTGTTCGGCATAGCTGCATTTCTAAAGATCAGGTAAGATTTGGCAACCTCTTATTTAGAGGAGAAGCAGTCATTTCTTAGGAAGCGATTGACGTTTTAACTGTTTTTAGAGCTGAAAGTGAGTGGCACCCATCTCATATACTGTGGCTGATTTTGCCTCATTCTTTATACAGTTTCAATCACTCCAAGGCCACAGCCATTCGTACATTTGTATTAAGTCCCCGTGTTAACTCTGTTTCCCTCATTTAAATCCTTTATTGTTCTGCATTTACATTGTTCTCTCACTGTATTCCCAAATGCTCTTAGCCTTCCCCTTCTCTCGCTTTCATTCATTTGCTGCAGCATTGCTGTTCTGAAGCTATACCTCTGCTGTCTCCTCGTTTACAAATTTACATGCCTTCTCTTACCTCTTTTTCCTTTTGAACCCCTGGCACTTGCTTCTATTTCTGCTCCATTATCTTTTGGCTACCCAAGATATTTTTCTGCAACCCAAATTGGCACCCTCTTCTCTGCATGACCACAGAACTTTCTGCCCGCCCGCCCGCCCTCCCCCTCCCTCTCCCCCTCCCCCTCCCCCTCCCTCTCTCTCCCCTCCCCCGCATCTTCTCCTTCTTTGTGTACGTACCTTAGACAAAATGCTACTGTTGACAGGGTCATGACAGGGTTATGACAGTGGTTAATGCTTCCCCTCCCCAAAATACCACAATCCCAGACTGGATCCTTCTGCCTTCATTTTTCCCTCCCAGCTACAATAATTGCTTACATCAACTACATTGATCTGTAGTTCTTTTCTGGGAAGCTAAAAAGTAACTCTTGTTGTTCTTGTTGTCGCTGCTGCGGCTGCTGCTATTAAGCAAGGTAGATCTCCACATAGCTGATAGTCTTCCTGAACTTATTCCTAAAATTGACAGTATGATCACCATGGAGCAAGTACTGACCTAAGATGAGGAGGGTTATCTATTAATAAAGTTGATTCTCCAAACTAATTTGAGGAGTGCAATTACAACATCTCATTAATCTGGCAGTTTAATTAATAAAGGACAGGTGCTAAGTGGACAGAGGGACTTATTTTCCAGAATAGGTATTAGCAGCAGCAGGTAACTATTGATCATTTTCTGCCTTACTCTGTGCATGATAAAGAGAAATATCTGTGATGGAGGCACAGTGAAAGGGATGGCTGACCTGAGTAAAATATTATTTCTTTTTCATTCTTAGGCATTCTTCTTATGGCAGACTTTTTGATGACCATGATTATGGATCCTGGGGAAACTACAACAACCCTCTATATGATGACTCCTAAACTAAGAACATTAGCTAAGCCAAAACTGCTCTTATATTATGAAGCACCTAATTCACTAAAAGCACTATGTTCTGATATCTTTTGACATACGACTCCTGTGTTTTTATTCCTCCTGCTGTTCCTTTCAGTGAACCTTTTGAGTTTAACATAAGCTAAACTCTACAACGTGAATTAGACTCAAGTGATGCTTACAATAACTCAAGTCTTATTTAATAAATTACTCCAATTTCTGCAAAAAGATGAAGATCTATGGAATGCTCTGACAAAACTGCAGTCCTTGAATTCTTAGCAACTTACGACAGGTGAACCTTTAGTGGCAGATTTGGCATGAAGAAACAGTATGGCCTTTTCAATTGTCCATCAGCAAACATTTATGGTAACAGATTGATACCAGATCTTGGCTCTTGTTTTATTTGCCTTCACCAGGTTGTCTCTGTAAGAAGAGTGTTCTTATTAAAATTCAATTGAATGTTGAACTATCTTACATTTCACTGAAGTTCTTGTTAACTGTTTTATTAAGTAGTTGCTGTAGATGGCAGTTCCATGTCAAGTTGCCTCCCTCTCCTTCCATCATACCACTTCAGCAAACTCTGTGTCATGTTCTCATTACCTGAGTGCTCTTCTGTCAGAGGCACCAGCTGTTGGCCCATTGATGTCACACAAATATCTAATTTAAGGAATGAGACTAACAATTCCCCCCCCCCAAAAAATAATAGATTTTGTACATAAGGAATGAGATTCTTTCCAAAACAGAACATTACCTCTTTGATCTGTACCAATTGTCAACAATTCCATATTTTCTGGATTCCGTATTAATATGTTAGTATCCAGGCCACTACTGACCTTAATTTAGTTCAAAATTTCCATCACAATTCCTCAGCTGGATGAGAAAGAAAAATAAAGGTCAATACTAGAATACCAATGATGCTCCACTCCTCTAAATTATCTTTCCCAGCAGTTTCTTGCCAATGAATTTAGGGGGGAGGGGGGCGGTGATACAGACCAGTGGCAAGGGTTTTCTTAACCTTTCCAAACACAAACAAAACAGTAAGGATTGGGCAAACAGACTCCCCTTCTCCAGGCACTCTTCCCATTTTCTTAGGGAACTATATTTCAATTTACGTCTGAAATTCCTTCAAACAAGGCAGACCAGGTAATTTTCTATTAACTCAAGAGACCATAGTGTAACAATACTGTACAGGTAAACTTTCATCAGCTAAGAGGCTCCTTAAACCTGGTCTCCAACTATAAAAGATTGAAATTGCACTTGAATGTCGGAGGAGGGGTCAGGGAGCAAAAAGGAAGGAGAATCTGCCTTAGGATTTGGTTTTAATATTGAAAAGTGGCTTTAAAAACATAAACACAAAATAAAACCTGGGAAATTGGAGGAGAATAATAAATTCTGAGTACTGAAATTGGGCTCGGACCACAGATTTTCTACCTTTGCTTGTACAGTTCAGAGGATAATGGCAACAAACTATTTTAAAAATAGGTGGAAGAGGGACTGTTACCATCATTTTCTGACAAGCCTCCATCCTCCAAAGAATTCTAGAATTTATCTCCATATTTTGCACTATTCTAGTATTGTGTCCTATGAATAGGACCTTGAAAATGAGGAAGTATTTTCATCTTAGCACGCTGCACACAAAAGCTACGCTAGACATTCCTTAAGTTTAATAGTTGTCATTTTCCTTGGGTCTAAAAAAGCTCTAAAAGATTACCACCTCTAACTTGGAAGCCTTGAAATGCATTGGACTCTAGTGTGCAATGGTTTATGCTGGCAGAAAATTAGGAAGGTTATAGACCGATTTGGAGAAAGACTGCTCTAAAATGAGCTCTAGCCTGTGTGGAATTGGATTCCAATGGAGGTTTTCTCCTTTCTAGCCATACTGTAGCCTTTTTTGGTTCCAGATCCTTGGTATGAACTGGGAGTTCCATTGATACACTCATTTTCCATCAGTCTGTATAATCAGTTTTAAAGCCGCTAGCTTAGTGGTGATTATTCCCCTCTCTAATAAGTATGATTCAGTTTTTAAGCAGATAGTAATGCTTAGTAGAAAATTTGTCCAAACCTCCTGACATATTCTGCAGTACATCTGCAGTGACAACTATAAATGTCAATTTTTTAAAGTTCAATTAAGAAATGGGTCAGATGAAACAATTAAAAGGTTTTTCCTTAAAGATTTTCATCTGTTTCTGTTATCCATTGTTTTAAACAACAGCTTCTGTTATTTCCCTTTGCCAATTTATATGCTACCAATTTGAGTAAATAAAAATGGTTTGATTGTGAATTTCTATTATTTTTCTCTCTTTCCTAGTCTTCAATTTAGCTCTTTTAAAAATATATATATGAACATAAGTTAGAAGTCATAAACAGTTTTAGGGTAATTTAAAATGTTTTTGTGTCTTTCCATGCTGTAATAAACTCTGTATATTTGAGGTATAGTTATTTAAGCAATCTTACAATACTTTAAAACTGACATCTTCTCAGCATTCATAATGTTTATTTTAGCTTATCACCATACTGCCCTGTTTAATGTTCAACAAGTCATTTGGTTGCATGACATTCTATGTACATGCTTTGTGCTATTATCTGAAATGTCAATCAGCTGCAATTTTGTCCTTATTCAGAGTAAGTTTTAAAAAACCCTTTGCTACTTCTTACCATTTTACCATCAAAACTGGTTAAATAAAAAACATTGGTGATTTCAGGGGCAGATTTATGCTGGTAAAGTGTTAGTATTAGGCATATTGTCTGTCCCCTTTGGTCTTAGAATAAAAATAGAACATTTAATGTAGTGACATCATGATGGAGCCTATTTAAAACCAAGATTGCTCAAACCACATAGGTTCATCATGGATACATGCTGATTAATAGGGAGCACATCCACACTGAGGACAAAAGCTCCCTGCCTTATAGTGCTGCACTGATTTCATTGTTACCTGAATGGCATCAACCCAGTAGTCTTGGTCCCTGACACCCTCACCTCCTTTCACATGTACATAAAGGACAGTGCTCTGTTGGCTAAAGTTAATCCAATCAAACATTGCTCTGACTCTTCTGTGATACCAAGTGCAGTTATGTTTGCTAAATGTATCTGATGGTTTTAACTTCATCTTTCCTGGCTCCTCAGTTTTATCTTTGCAATGAGATAGTAATGTAGTAATGAGATAATATAATAATATATAAGTAATATAGTAATGAGATAGCTGAGAGGTAGTAACCAGGCACAGGGAGCATTTGCTGGTCCGCTTCAAGTGGAGATATGTAACCGGAGGCCTGTGTGCAGCCCTGAAAGCCATGGAGCCAGGCCCCGGAACCTACGTGATGTCACCAAATTAATTTTAATGGGGGCAGGGGAAATAATACATTATGAGAGAGTAATCATTAACTATATATAACTTCTATTTATTTACCTATTGGATTTACAGGTTTGCATTCTGCCTTTCCTTCAGGAACTCAAGGTGGCATATATCATGCTCTCTTCTCCCATTTTTCCTTGCAATGACCCTGTGGGGTAGCTTAGCTTAAGAGAGAGTGATTGACCAAAAATCACCCAGGGAGTTTCCAGGTTGAAGGTGGACTTCAATTTGGGTCTCTCTAGAGCCAGTCCATCAGTTCAACCACTACACCATGTTGGCTCTCAATTAGATGTGTTAAATGTAAATCAGATCAAGTTAATATTTGTCTAGACTGCCACTTTAGGGTATGGCCCCTGGCACAACAGTCCAAGGCCAAAGAACTGTGACCCCTGATGACATTTAATGACATTAAAGTGTCACTGGCCAGTTCTGGTCATCCCAATCTCTCTCCTGGCCTGTTTTATTTTCTGCAGGCGCCTCCGGGTAATCCTTTTCTTATATATTTATGCACGTAGAAAGTTTCTATCCATGTTTACATTTCCTGTGCCAGATTGCCATATGCCGTAAAAGGTAAATGAAAGGCATTAGTACTTAATGCAACTGATACAAAGTGTTGGCCTATATCTTCTTAGAAAAGCATGGTAGATTGATTTGTATTAAGCAGTTGCATATATAATGTGCTTTGAATACATGTGTCTGATCACTTTCTGATTGCTTTTCATCTTGCTGGTGCCACCCCACCTTGCAGGGGTACAGGGCCTGTTAGATCTGCCCACCCTGGGTGACAGTGGACCTGGTAGGGTTCCAGAGAGAGCTTGGGGTTTTCCTCAAGTGTCTGGTGGGCTGTTCTGCTGAGGCTGGTCATGGCCTGGGATGAGTGTATGGCTGGGGCCTTCGATCGGATTGCCCCTATGCAGTCTCTCCCTGTGCCAATCCTGGGATGTCCCTTGGTTTTTCCAGGAGCTCTGGGAAATGAAGCACATGAAAAGATGCCTGAAGCACCATTCATTCATACCTACATACATACATATTTTATTGAAGCAATTTTTACAAAGTTAAAAGATAAACACAAAACAAATATAGAAGAAAGATAAAGAAAAAAGTTTAAAAAATAGCAAGAAAGAAGAAAGGGGAGAAAAGGATACTTAAAGAAGTGACTTCCGATCTTTATAGCAGTTATAAACATACTTAATACTGTTCCCCCTTCAAAATTACATAACATAGTTCCCTTCTCTCCATATACAGCCCTTTTTCATTGGTAAATTCAGAAATCAGCTCATTTTTATCCATTTTCACCAAAAAAAAATCTGCAAAGGTTTTCCAATCTTTTATAAAAGTAGTTATTGTTCCTTCCCTAATCAAACAAGTCAATTTAGCCATCTCTGCGCCTGGAGCACCATTCAAGGAAGACAAAAAGTGGATCCTACCAAACACAAGTAAGAACCCACATTAGGGATTACATCATGTTCGTAAGGGCAGCAAAACATTTCTCTGTCCTTATTGTGTCTGCTGGGGCAACCTGGTCCCTACTGGGGAAGGATGGGCCATGGGACCATCTCCAGGCTGTTGTGGGGAATATTCTTACTATTTGGCAGATGAAATCATTCATGTCCATTCAGGGTTGGTCTCCAACCACTTAGTTCCAGTTGAGGTGATCAGGACAGGGCCTTGTTTTGTTATCCAGAGTGAATTTGTTTCTGTGACTTCCATGAAAGTGGAGAAACTTCTGCAGTTTGACCACCTGCTTGTTAGATCCAGGGGCTTTCTGGATTTTAAAAGCTGCCCAGGGAGTAACCTGAGGTTGGGCTTATGCAGTGGTGTCAGCTGTTTTGGATGAGGGGTGGTTCTATTGGACTTGAAGGAGGCTGTGATGCACCCTCTCTTCAAGAAGCTATCACTGGACTCAAAGGTCCTAGACAATTACAGTCCAGTTTCTAGCCTTCCCTTTTTTGGGAAGGTGGTGGAGAGGGTGGTTGGGCTTCACCTCCAGAGGACCTTGGAGGAAGTGGAATATTTGGACCTGTTTCAGTTGAGTTTCAGGACAGAATTTAGTACGGATACAGCATTGGCCATGCTCATTGGACCTGTGGCAGAACTGGGATGGGGTAGTGCATCCATCCTTGTGCTC